TGCCACATTAACAAACACAGTCTGTATACTCAGGAAAAAAAAAAACAACCCAAACAAACCAACCAACCAAAAAAAAACCACCCCGAAACAACCAAAAGGGAGACTTGAAATAAGGCCAAAAAATATCTGCAAATGGCAAATTTTAAGTCTGTCAAAAGGACCAGGCCATAAATATTTTATTTACAATTTCTATTTAGAATCTTTATTTTCAATGAATGATTTAGCACCAGCAAGAATATGCAAAGTAGCATTACTGTGTTCCCCAGGCAGAAGATCTCGAGGCCAAATCTTGCTCCTTAGTTTAAAACAGTCCCCATTTAAGAGAATCATCTACTCAAGTAACTAAAGTGAGCAGGATTTGACACTCAGTTATGCAAACCTAGACTGCTCAAACATATTCCATCAGTACACTAATAATTACAAATATATTACAGCATCTTTTGAGATGTTTTCAGAAAGTATGTTTTTAAGAATACTTAATATGCTTTACATGTGTGAAGTAAACAAAACTAATAAAACAGGCTTCTTTGCAGACTTTCTTTAAACTTAAAGAATTAGTAATTGTATCATAGATGACAGAACACTCGCAATGTACTTTGGACTTTGTACAGTACAACTTAAAGAACGTAAGCAGGCAATTATCCCTCTGTACTGTGATAAAGCATTTTTTATCTCTCATGGTCCTGAGGACTTAATTCACCCATTTTATCCACAACGATTGTTAAGTCTGCCCCCTCTCACTGTGCGTTAATAAGAAAAATTAATACAACCAAAACAGTAACTGTACGTGTCAAGCGTGTTCCTAGCTCTGCACTGTGACCTACAGGTCTTGGTCAAATACTTCTAATCTGACCCACAGATTTTTGTTCACTTTTTAACCTAAGCAAAGCTCTATTACATAGTACATGTTTTTTAAACCTACGTAATCCAAAAAAAGGATGTAGAAAGTCCCATCACTAGGAAAACACTAATCTCATTATGTGTGCCAATGGACTCAGGATAAAAAGCTGACCGCAACTAGCTCAACATAACTGCACCAACCTTCATCTCTGTTCTGAACTCAACTAAACTGTTCCCTCAGGATTATAGCCATCTAGCATCCAGAATGTGAATAGTGAAAGCGATATTTAAAAACAGGTTGAATGTAAATCTAGGCATTAATGTAAGTTAATGACTGAATGCATAAGACACCATCTAGTCTTTAAGAAGCACAGATTTGCTCTAGATAAAAAACACTTTAATTAGTTCCAAGTGTTAAAACCCCACTGTTATTCTGAAACATTTAGAAATGAGAAGTTACTACAACTTATCTGGAAGTAGATATTTTCTGAAGACCTATACTGGATAGAGACAAAGAGTTAGTATTACAACCTTTAAAGGCAATATAATCACCTTGCAAGTATACAACCAACAACTCAAATACAAGTAGGAATCTCACAGTACTATTGAAGGAATATTTAATCTTTTATGAGAAGCCAGAACTGAACTTGTTCTTAATATAGAGGCTGAGAGCAAGTGGGACAGCATGGTGTCATACTCTTTCCATACCATAACTCTCAAATTATGAATGGAGGTGTTGGCAGAATCACACAGATGCTTGCTTGCAGAACACTAGAGAGGGAAAGAGCTTTAAAACGCAGGTCAGACATCTGAAGACTCTTTGAAAATCTAGACTAAACTATGAAACAAAGGAAGTGTATCAGTGCTGCTTCCCTCTGAACTGTTACATTTATTGAGGCTTTAGTAAAAGAATGAGAAAGTGTTTATACTTAAACCTCTGCTAGCTTCAGTAAAGAACGCTGAGGATGTGTTCATTCCAGCTTGCTAAATATTCAAAATGTATTGCAGAAGTTCCCTTCTTGTTCAAATTGCAGTTACCCTAGTAGAACTAGAAAGGTGAAAGTTTAATAGCCATACCAACTCGGAACAGCTTCACCTAAAAATGGTCTACTCTGGCCAGAAATAATATGTACTTATCTGACTAAAATCTTGCATGATTTTTAGGGAGATAACTGATACAATAAAACTGTGCGTAATACTTAAAAAGACCAAGCTGGAGGGATGAGACCAAGAAATGAAAAAGCATTACCCCAAGTTAAGGTCCACAGGGATACGAAGCCAGAAACCTGATGCTCTTTTCCTGACATCTCTAGCTACACTGGATTGAAGGGATCATCATCTCCATGGCCAATAAAATTATCTGCATTTGTCTGGTAAGCAACACTGGTTAGGAAACCTCCCGGATAAAATCCCAGTACCAGCAAAATTGGCATTATATGAAAAAATTAAAAGGCACTCACACGGCTGACTGAGCTGAAAACGATTACACAGTCAACATGAGCTTTACATTTTACTTTAGAAGAAACATCACACAGCTTTCCTCTAGAGAAGTGGTTCCACTTGAGAAGACAACAGTAGCCCTGAGAAAACCCCAAATTTTCTCTACTGTAGTACATCACATTGATGTACATTGATGTACATAGCTTCAACCAGCTAGCTTTGAGGAAAAGAAATAGCAATGGTGGAAGTAAAAACAGAGCAGCTCAGGAAAAAGCAAGTTACTTCAGTGATCTGTATAAACGAAACAAGCCTTTTCAACCTATTTAGAAGAGAATTTAGATGAAAAGACTTGTAAGGCTTATCTTGCAACTATTTGTGATGCCTAGCATTCCTACTGGTGGTAGAGTCAATCTTTGGAGACTCCAGTAACAAGTTCTAAGTTGAGAGAGAATGAGATGAAACCCAAAGATGTGGCTTAAATCCAGGACCCATGCGCTTTACAGTAGGGCCTGAAAACTTCTCTGGTTGCTCTTGTAACAATTGTGACGATAAAACTAGCAAAAGGAAGCCAATTTTTTAGAAGCTCAAGGGAAGTAAAATAGAGGTAGGGCATACTTTTTGATTCTCACAGTAGTTTCTATACAGTACAGCTATTCAAGAATTACTCCATTAATTTATTCTGTAACTGTACAATTTACTTTAAAAAAATCTATCTTAGGTCATATCAACTTCAAATGGTTTAAATTAACCATGGTCATTAGGTAATCATCTTCTACATGTGCTTCTGATTAAATATGTAAGTAACTTCTACTGCTTCAAGAGCAGCTCTCTCTCAGTATCACAAAGTAAGAAGTGAAGTAGCAATAAATATCGTCCTAAAGGACCTGTTTCTAATCAAGCTGTAGTATGTGTCTTAAAGTACTTCACTTTACAAGAAAAATACACAGTCGGTTGGCAAAATTTTCAGGAGGCTGTCAAAACATTCAGAATATTAAGTTTTTACAAAGTTTTATAACCAAATAAAGGTTACTTTATAAAGGTCCATTGTAACTCAAAAGGAACAGCATACAGCATTTATAAAGACATTCTATAAAACCCATATTCACTTATTTTCTGAAGTGCTCTGATTGAGCATTAGATCAGTTGAACTGAGTGTAATTTGGTTTTTTAATGTCTAAAATGAAATATCAAAGCAAACACAATGGAAATGTAGTATGAGTACCAGGAAAAGCAACAATAAATGGAACTGCATTTGCAATTGGCATTGTGCTTAATGCATTGGCTACTCTAAGTTACTGTACTCTTAAAGGACCACAGAAATTCTTTTTTAAAAAAAAAAAACAAAAAAACGTATGATGTTAGTATGGGGCTTTGAGTTTTAAGGAAAAAAGAGAAGACTGAGAATAGCACATAGAGGTTTCTAACATACTAGGTGGATGTGTCTGTGAATACAACACAGCCATGCTGTGGAACACTTGGGCAATCAGTTTTAAAAATACCTTAAAACCCAAGACATGAGTGTGTTCTAGTGTGGTTGCTCCTCATGCACTTATAGGAAATATTTAACATCAAAATGGTATCATAAAATTGGGTAGCTCTTTAGTCCACAAAGAGTCATATAGCTAATGACTCTATAATATTCTTACAAGTTTAAGATCGCATGCCCTGGCTTCAGGACTAAACTTATTACAATAATCACAACCGTAAATTTTAAAAGTATACAGAAAAACCCAAAGATCAGTTCCAGAGTATGGATTTTATCTCAAGGCCACAATTCAATGAACAGTTCCATATTGCAAGTGCACTCAATATTGGTCCGTTTGGTGCTGCAATACAAACTCTGATGCTGTCCTCAACTTTCAAAAACAAACTCCCAAATCCAAAAGCAAGCTAACCACCTTTCATTTTCAACATCTAATTAGATTCTGATCAACTCTTATAAAATTAAGGAGAAATCACATTTTCAAATTAGTAGAATGGGGCAGATCTTTTCTAAATCTCCACAGAAATGAGCCAAAGCATCAGAACTATGAGGTCCCATATTTAGTCTATTTTGTAAGGATTTCTTCAATTCTCTCAGGCTTTGTGGTACCTTCACAAATACTGATGCATGATGTCAGAATTTATGAGACACACAAAAAAACCCCAGAAGGCATTTTGGAAGTCATGTCCTCAAAAAAACCAAACTCAACTCCAAAAATCTGCTTTCATTAATCATTAAATTCTTTTCCAAATCCAACCAAAGACAGAGGGGATCTTCCCAAAATACTAGCAACATCTTCAAATAAATGAAGAGGGCAAGTGAGTATCTTCACCAAACCTTCAAAACATCAACTGCTTAATCTGCTGCTTTGGCTGATTTTTTTGTGTTTCTATTCTTCCCACTGAAAATTAAAGCATTAATATTATTTCCATTACACATAAAAATAAAATAATTACTGTTCTTACTGTGGGAAGGAACTGTCTACAGTTCCCTCATTTTCTAGATAGTACCTTACTGTTTTTGAAGTTGTTTTCTGTAAGTACACATAGGAAATTGTACTCATAATATAACTAATGAAAATAATCTTTCCTTCATCAATTATATAAAAAAATGATGGGCCTAAAGCCTCAGGAGTAAACTTGCAATATTTTCATGCTGAGCACTTAAAGGTTTGGCATTCCTTCTTCTGGAGGCTTGGTTTCAGAGGATGTATTGCATATTAGAAGTTCAATACTGGCTACATGTACCAAAGAACATAAACAATATCCCCGAACAGTTCAATTTTCAATGCCCAACAGAATGAAAACCCCTCCCTTTAATGGCAATATTCAGTAGCTAATCACTTCTTAAAAACAGTTAAGAGAAAATCTGCTGTTTTCTTCTCCCCTCCCCAGATTTAGTTCCCATTGCCATGAACAAGTGTCTTTCAGGTGGAAAATAGTTCAGTGTAGTGACATCTGGTTTCTCAACTGAAATTTGGCAGCCCAAGAAGAGCACCAACAGCTCCAAAGTATCCCTGTTCAAAACAAAACAAAAAAAAACATTTCAGGTTCAAATAGGTTATTAAATTCTGCACTGATCACATCTCAATGACAACAAAGCATCTGGTGGACCAACGCTACAGAAAGAACACCATACACTTTTAATATATAATCTTCACAGTAATTTTTTAAAGCTTTGTGAAACAAACATTTTACCCTTCTTATCTAGCTTGACTTTAAGAGATTTCACCCCACGCCTCCCCATACACTGCAGGTCTTCCAAGACATGTACCAGTGACTCCTGAAGCACAGAAATCAGATTTAGTTTGTTTTTCCTAGAGGAGCTGCGTATTTTGGTTGCCAAAGGATCTTCAATACCCATAGCAACACTATTCCTAATGTACAAGTCAAAAATTTCGTAAACTAACGGCACCTCACATTGTTAAAAATCATGTCCAAGCTTCAACACCATTTTTTTGGACTGTATACTTGCCTGCATACAAACAGCCATGTTGTCCTGTTGGATTACTTTTCCCCTCTGGGGGAGTGAGATGTTCTCCCTCCCTCTAACTATGAAATATAGAAGTGTTTGGAATCTACACTTGACCAAATGCAAAAATTTAAAATTTATCCAAGAAAAATCTGATGGGGGTAGAACTAACAAGGAACCATTCTGTTATTACTGCAGACACTAGCACCAAGACAGACTACTGGCAGTCTCAGGATAAGCAACAAAGGAAACAAGTTGTGAGAATCAAGTGAAGGGGAATAGATGTAATGCTGTAGTACTTGCAGACCAACAAATTGAGGACAAAAATTGCCAGCCCACTGCCAAGAAGCTACAAGTCTCCCAACTGTTGCACCTGTAATTAATACTGGTTGTCTATATTTTAACCAAAACAGGTCAACTCTCTTAGCTTTACATACTGATCTAGATTGCAGAAGCTGCGCAAAAGCAGGTTAGTCTCAGAGGATGAAATCCCTACAACGTTAAGGTGTATCTGTGGTGGTATGAAAGCAGTCCTTGTTAAAAGCAGTCTTGACTTTCGGGATGTTGCTCAAGCTCAGTTAAGAACAAGAGAAGTATTTCAAAGGCCCATGCTTTAGATCTCTCTGTAATCTTTTGAAATACAATACTTACTGTTGTGTCCATGCAAAACCAAGGAAAGACTGTTGAACCTTAGTGCAGAGCTTAACGTTTTCTTGTCCCTCTCCAAAGATCTACAGCATGAACTGAGGTACCCCAAAGTCACTGAATTGCTTCCCTGGCAGACAGAGCTGTCCTCAGAGAACTAATGTAGTATGACAAGCCTCCTTGTATTTTCAATGTTTACTGAGTACGTGGCATCTCAGGATATCACATGCATGAGAGCCACTCAATACATGCATTTTGATTTATGGTAAAACAATACATACAGATAAATGAACCACAGCATACCTCATGTTCTAAGAACAAGGCCTTCAGCTGGCCTTTTGACCAGTAATCCAGTGCATATGCAAGAAGCTTCATTGACAAAGTATTCACACGTAAAAAATTGCCAACAAACACAACTCTGTTTATTTTCTAAAAAGAAGAGAAAAACAGCAGAGGATTAACTCTTTTCACTGTTTAACACAGCTTTGAAAAACTAAGCTATGAAAGAACAGACTGTCTCGAGCAAGAAAAAACACCAAAAAACCCCACAATTAAAACATGGTTCCAAAATTTAAAACACAGCATACTTGGGAGAAAAGGAAAAACGGTGCAACCCTCAAGAATTAAAGGACTTAATTTACAGAGAAGTAGCATTTGGGTTTCAAATTAAGTGAGCATTTTCAGTAATTAAGCCAAAGAAACAGCCCAGCTAAAAGTGAAATTAAATGAAAAATACTTGTATTTGGTAGAGAAGACTCAATGCCTTCATAGCCCTGTACAATGCTGCTTGATCCATATGCAACAAGGCAGCACTGTAAAGAAGCCGAAGACAGTAAGACATAACAGATGTTCCTTTCATCTTCAGACCTCAGTATACCTCAGCATAACATTAGACTAAGAAATACTAGAAGTGAGCTGTGAATTTTAATCGTCAAATGTAAAAAAGTGAAAATCATTTAATTTTCCCCCATTCACTGAAATAAATCCAACATTAAGTGGAAGCAACATTAAACACTGGTTTAATGATATGAGAGCAAGAACCAAAGAAAATTTAATTGTGTTAGTGCTTAAATAAGCATTTAATTACGTTAGATGAGTACTTGTATCCAAGTTGTTACAAAAACTAGTATGACAATTCAACCTGTAGTTCAAATGACTAACATGCAACTGTCTTTCACTACCTTGATTAGTTCACCGTGAAGACAAAGTAAACACAGTGCTAGGGCACCCAAACAGAATTCTGCTCTATAGCAGGAAGCCAAAATAATTAAATCCATTTTATCTTTATACATCAGTTCAAGATATTAGTTTGTGTATCCCTATTAACTATTTCTTACAATTTGTAGTTCTGTGACATAGTTGGAATTAGACCAAAAAAACTTGGAATAAGTTTACGAGTTCCAATTTGTACTCATTTACACCCTCCCTTAAATATAAATTGCATCCATTTGCCTCAGACTCAGGCTATTAGTACATACTTTCAACTCCACTCTCATTTTAACTCTTTTGTTATCAAACTTTGCCATAAAGCAAAAAAGCCAAAATTAACTTAACACCCATAAAATTAACTTTCTTCTCCAAGACAGACATGAGAGAAAGACAGAGAAGGAAGGAAACTGAGGGAGAACTTGCAATAGTAAAACCAGAAAAATATATTAGTCTGGCTCCTAAGCAAAAGGAGGGTTACTGCAGCTAACAAGGTTGTTGATATCTCTGAGACTATCACATCCATAGATTTTAAGCAGAGCTCTAAATAGTTACCCTTAGTCTTCTCTAAGAAAGCTGTTACTAAACCTCACTTTATCCAAAGTTTGTTGATAACAAATGAGGAAATCCCTGGTGCTCAGACACCCATTATCTTCTATGCCCAAATTCAGTATTCTTCCACAGGTTCTTGACTGTCCACGCTAATCACACTGAAACTGAATGCATACCGGTTCTGTTTAGCAGAGCTTTGAGAAATAGAAGATGCCAGGAAACTGTCTCTGTATCAACCAGTAAGGAGAAAGGTGTCAAAACAATGTGAAGTCTCAAGAGTTGGTAAAAATTAAAAATGCTTAACTAGAAGCAAGGCTTTCTACGAGCTTTAATCAGAGAATAATTTCAGCTTGAAGAAACTGCTAGAGGCCATCAGGTCCTATGCACTGCTCAAAGCAGGTCTTTCAGCAACTTAAACGTTGAAGTTGCTCAAGTCACATGTTTTGAAACTCTCCAAGTACAGAGAGTCCACAGTCTCCGAGTCCATGTTTCAGGGCTTAACCACTCTCGTGAACATCTTTTTTCCCTTATACCAATCAGAATTCCCTTTGCTACAAGTTGAATCTGTTGCTTCCCATCCTTCTGCTATGCATGGCTGTACCTGGCAGTGTCTTCCCTGTAATCCCCTCTAGATAGTGACAACCATTACAGGCTTCAGCTGCTTCTTCAGGCTTAACCTGGATCCCTCGGTGTCTGCTCATACATTAGGTGCTCCAGGGCAGGGACCTGGGACCATTCTGCTACTTGCCTTCTTCACTTTCCTCAGGATCTTAAACTCTAGTATTTCAATACTGTCACTGAAATCCCTGACCAGTTCTTCACTCATGAACAGCAGGTCCAGCACCATGCTTGCCTAGCCAGCCCGTCTGGCAGTTGTGTCACAAAATTGTCCCCAGCACACTGAGAAGTATGGATTGCTTGGGATCTGCCATGCTACCCTTCCAGTAAAGGTCAGGATAGCCCCTCATAAGAACCAGGACTTCCAGACCCTCTTCTATCCCATGATGCATGTGTTTGTGTACAGAGAATTAAGTTGGGCCCACAATTATTCTGTTTTCACAAAGGGACTTCAAGTCCTTTCATCACAACATCCTATGCTCCCCTGCTCCCTCACTTACCTGCAGATTTTGGGCTCCATTCCCTAACAAAGCTAGTTTGAAGCCCTCCTCATCAGGTTACCCTCCCCATTGGCAAAGATATCCTTGTCCCACTTCTCCAAAGACAGTCAAAATATTCTGAAGCAATTCCTAGTTCTTTAATACTACATGAATTTCTTTTTTTGTTTGAGAACATACTAAAAGGTTTAAAGTGATACATCATTTTAGCAGTCGTTAAATCTGAAATCAAATAATAGACCTACAGATAGATCATTTCCTTATCAGAAGTTCTTACCTCATTTACTGCACACATCCGGGCAATAGACCCAATGTTATTGGTGATGGTGACCAATATGGCTCTTGCAAGATCTTCTTTACTAACAGACTCTCTCTTCTCTTTGTAGATCATATTCCCAAAACTAGAACAGGAAAGATTTCCATTAAGTACAAAGTGATTCATGTGCATTTCAAGTAATTTCAGAATGTAATTTTTATGCTACAACAGAACTTAAGTCTCACGTTTGTTCTTAAGGAGCTCCCTTTTTAAGTCCATTAAATACAGCAATTTGACAACTGACACTGCAACGTGTGTATTTCTTCACAGGAAACAGTCAATCTTGTTACAATAATGACCCCTAACAAAATATTTTTGTTTAGATTGTTGACTTCCATGAAGACGCATCTACAGCAAAAAGCAGTCAAGTTATTCTTAGGCAAGACTACTCTGCAAATCTGGTCACCATAAATTAAGTCAATGCCTCAGTCTGACTGGTGAATCCTCCAACTCCTCATGCCTGCTTCCTCACTCACAATATCTATCCAATCCTCTATTCTCAAAGTACAAGTAAATTGGAGATGGGTTGAATGGTTTTATGATGGAATACAATCCTCTGAAACAGAAAATAAACAGCTGACAGACTGCAATTTAGGTTGAATAAATGAAGAGTTCTAGATTAGAAGGTCACTTCCATTACTATACACAGTAGATCATTTCTTACAAATTACAAAAAAGAAAAAACAAGACAAGAATCCATAGCTATGCATGATATTTTACCACTAAGGACTCTGCCATATCTAAGTCAGTCTGGAGAACCAGAATCTTGATTATTCTAAAACTCGAACAGTCAGTAAAGATGCTAAGGGTCTTAAAAAGTAAATGAGAACAAAAAGTACCCACATACAGAGTTAAGATGTACTGACTAAAAGCGTAAAGTTTGCACTTATTAAAATGTCTCGGCATATGCTCTCTCAAGAGGCTTGGGCTCAGCTGGCTGAAGAGGGAGAAGAGTTAAGTTACCGTGAATTAAGAACTCTTACTACTGAATAAGAACAAAGATATAATGAACTCTCATGTACATATTAGTTTCACTCCCGAAGTTTATTACTTTTACATTTCTTAAGGGTAGAGAAGCTGTAACATCACCAATAACCTTCCCCAATAGAAATAAAACTTGCAGCTATGACAAAAATTCTGTCACTGGCAGTAAAATACATTCATTCTCATAGTGCAAACTGTTTATGTCCAATAGCCTTCAGAAATGAGAAAAGTAGTTAAAACATTATGCCAGCTGCCTGTACTGATAACCACATAAGAAAAAAAAAAAAAAAAAAAAAAAAAAAACAG